ATTCTTATTGGTGTGACGTGATATCGCATTGTGGTTTTAATTTGCATTTCTCTGATGATTAGCGATATGGAGCATCTTTTCATGTGCCTGCTGACCATCTGAATTTCTTCTTTGAAGAAGTGTCTGCTCAGATCATGTGCCCATTTTTTAATTGGATTATTTGCTTTTTGTTTGTTGAGGTGCATTAGCTCTTTATATATTTTAGATGTCAACTCTTTATCGGATCTGTCATTTATGAATGTTCTCCCACACTGTAAGATGCTTTTTTGTTCTACTGATGTCCTTTCCTGTACAGCTTTTCAGCTTGATATAGTCCCACTTGTTCATTTTTGTGTTTGTTTCCCTTGTCCAGGGAGATATGTTCATGGAGAAGTTGCTCATGTTTATGTCCAAGAGATTTTTGCCTATGCTTTTTTCTAAGAGTTTTATGGTTTCATGACTTACATTCAGGTCTTTGATCCATTCCAAATTTACTTTTGTATATAGGCTTAGACAATGATCCAATTTCATTCTCTTACATGTAGCTGTCCAGTTTTGCCAACACCAGCTGTTGAAGAGGCTATTTCCCCATTGTACATCCACAGTTCCTTTATCATATATTAATTGACCATATATGCTTGGGTTCATATCTGGACTCTCTACTCTGTTCCACTGGTCTGTGGGTCTGTTCTTGTGCCAGTATTAAATTGTCTTGATTACTGCAGTTTTGTAGTAGAGCTTGAATTTGGGAAGCGAGATGCCCCCTCCTTTATTCTTCCTTTTCAGGATTGCTTTGGCTATCCAGCATCTTTTGTGGTTCCAGATGAATTTTAAAACTATGTGTTCTAGTTCGTTGAAGAATGCTGCTGGTATTTTGCTAGGGATTGCATTGAATCTGTAGATTGCTTTATCTTGCTTTTCTTTTTCCGGAGGCCCTCACCCTACACTGTCTAAGCTCATGGTCCCTGTCTCAGCTCTGAACACTACTGGCTGGACCCACTCTACGAGTTATTAGGACTGCAAGATGCCCTTCAGCAACAGCCATTAGGGAACTTTGAAAAAAGTTTCTTACAAGGCCTAGAAATTGCACAGTACACCTAAGGCCACACAGTGAGGTCACAGGTACAAAGAGTGCATGAGTTAGGGGTTCTGCTTTTATTAAGGCCAAGGGTGGGTGGTGGTCCAGGGTTTCCAAGACTCACTACTGGTGAATTTAAAATATAAGAGCAGGAATTTAAAGTGCAGGAAGACAAGTGGCCCAAAGGGTCAGTTTTCAAAATCAACAAAGATCTCTAAAACAAAGGAGCATCCATTGGGGGAGGTGGCCTTTCTGTCTAATGTGGCTGACAATGTGTTTATTTGAGATCTCTCTTTGAAATGGATGCTTCAGCAATCAAAGCTTGTCAAGTGCTTGTATTACAAAAAAGAGAAACAACTGTTAGAGTTTACACTGCAACTGCATAACTAGGTAAGAGTTTATGGAATCAAGATGTTTTCAGTTTTATATATGTGTGTATTTATGTATATATATATGAAACATGTATTTTAGTAATAGAAACCCATCTCAAGGCATAATCAAAAAGGAAATTTGTTGGTTATTATAATTGGAAGGTAATAGCTCAGTTTAGGTGCAGTTCTTGACCCACCTCTTGGCAATTATCTCAGCTCTGCCTTCTGTCACTGCCCAGAGCCAGATCAACTGTACTTGTGGAGTTGGCAAGGGGTTTATGTAAGATTTTTCCTTTAGTCTAATTGGGTTAACTTAGTTTACCTGCCCTCCCTGGACCAAAAATGCTTTGGGCTAAATTAGCATAAGCCTGGGCTCACTATCTGAACAAAGGTATCATATATTATGCTTACCATTGCCACTCCTGCTGCACAATGGGTAAGGTGGAATGCCCACTCTAGATTAATTGTGGAAAATGGATCTTAAAAAGGATCAAATGCTATGCTCCTCAAAAGCTAGGTTTGAAAATGTACCGTTGGAGCTATGGGTAATGCAGAGTAGTTTACTGGAGGCTATATAAAGGCAGTGGTAAAAGTAGGTAAACCTGCTGAACTGAGTAGGATGGAAAGGGGAGAGATAATCAAAATAACTACAAAACTCAAAATAAATTAAGTTTCTGGACTAGTGGTTATAAGAATACAAATCAGTGAGAGACATGGAGAAAGTGTAACAGGATCTAGTAACAGTGGGAAAGGGAGGAGTTGAAGATGATTCCTGGATCAGCAAAGGTGGTGCTGCCATAGAGCCTAAAAGAGAAATTAGGACATAGGTTGGTGGTTGGGAGAGGCCATAGAAAATGGAAATAAGTTGGATTTTACATGGTTTCCCTTTACATCTTTAAGAGAAATGATTCAGGAGAATGTTGGAAAATTAAAGCTTGCACTTGAGGGAGTAAGAGATGGGAGGTTATTTAGATTTGAATGGAAGACATACAATACAGGTAATGAATTTTCTGAGGAAGGGAAAGGTGGCGATCAGGGCCTGGACTTTATGAAAAAGTGAAAAAAGTAGCTGTAACTCGGTGGGGGTGGGAGGTGGGGATTGTGTTCACAGCCTAGGGCAAATAAACCTTTGAAGCCAAGATCAAAGGGAAAATTAAGTGGGAGAAACTCATTTATTGTTTACAAGCAGTCATCTATTCCTGCTCATCCGTGTCTCTCATGACCCAGGTATGAAGGCCCCACCAAACCTCTCCCATCCAGGTGTGCACTTGCTCTCAAGCCCTCTTGTGGTCACCTATTGATATGGAAATGTACTATGGCCAGGTGAGAGATTCTGGAAATATTGCAATTTTACCCACAGGGGCGAACATAGGAGTTAATGAAAACAAATGTCAGAAAGACAGGGTGATTATCAGTATGTCGTCAACAATCTATGTTGCTAAGAACAGAAAAGAGGCAGGCAATGCTAAAGAAGACATCATCCAATTTGATTCAGAGGTCCCTGGTGATCTTTGAGAAGCATCTAAGTAGAAAAATTGAAAGAAGCAAGATTGTAGCATGATAGGAAATGAACACTGGGAATGGAGGCAGTATACATTTTAAGCTGGTGAATTCTGCAAAGAGAGAAAGCAGTGTATTAAGGGCAACATAAACTTATTTACACAGGAATGAAAAAACTTGTATGTGTTCTTTGAAGGCATGAGGAAGATTCCAATGAAGGAAATAAATGGGAAAAAAATCTATACAAGAGTCCAATGAAGGTTCCTGAGGCTGTTGAAGAAAATGTGCTTGGCACATTAAAGGAGTCAGGACATTTTGTTCCTTTGGGGAAAGACAGGCTAGATAAAGAGATTTATTTTAAAGTGGTCAGGAGGGCTCTGACTGCCAGATCTTTCTCAGTGGTGGTGATAATCCTATGGGGCAATGTGTCAAGAGTCAGGTGGTCCTGAAGAGGGCTGGAAAATTAGAGCAGAGAGTGTGCGCTTAATACATTGGCAGAAATGACAGGTCAACAGTGTTTCATAGGACTTCTTTATCAGTCCCCTGCTCAGTCAGAAACCTCGTTTTAAGGCCCTACTACCCTCCACACACTCCTATCCCATCTCTCAAAGCAACTCCAATTTCCCCCATCTACAACACTGAGGCTCCCCATTTATAAGAGGGGCTAGACTCATTAATGAGCAAGGTCCACTTAGAATTCCATACAAAATGTTTCTTATTTTCAAATTTAATGCAACTTTCTGAGACAAGCAATTAAGATCAAGTCCTGGGTACAAGAGGGTTGCCTAGAACTTAAAAAGGGGTATGAAAGATAAACAAGAGCTACTCCAGCATCCTCTTTTCTTTGCTAGACTACCATCAATTGTTTGTTTTTATCAGTTACTACTGAGAGTGGAACCCCTACACCTCTACTTTTTAATTTTCCTCTGCTAGATAGAAAAAGGATTCCTTTTACAAGGGTTAACCACCTTCAGCCTCCCTCACCACTTTCAAGTCCAAATCTCTGAGTAAAGTGGTAAGACAAGTTTATGTTTGGGAATGAAACAAAGTTTCAGTTGCAATACAAATTTTTTTCCGTAAGGAGCAAGCTAAAGAACTATTTCAAGAAACATTTGTGGCTTACATTTCTTTCCTTTTCCACTTCTGAAGAGACAATGGGGCACCATTTCTCTTGCAGTTACTTCTAGGGGATGAAGTTAGTGTTTCCCAGAAATATTTCTCACCATAGTTAACCTAAATGTTGGCATGTGAAATCATTTTAAGTGGGGGAATTAATTGCATGAATATTGCAAATCTTATTCTAGTCACACCATTCTAAAGTCAGAAGGAAAAACAAAACAAAGTTACACCCTTTCCCATTCCCCCTTTCATCCATCCAACTGTCATAACTTACCCCTCTTATTCTTTCCTCACAATCAAAGCAATATAAACCCTAGGACCTATTGTGCTGACAGAGAAACTAATACAAACTGGGGCAAACTTCATAACAGGTAAATTGGCGTCCCCATTTTTATACCACCTCCCTCTGCTCCACTCCAACAAATGGTATAACAAGATGGGAAGAGGTAGAACTGGAGCCATAATGTGGATTCTACCGGAAACTCTGAATTCAAGGTTTTTAATTTTGAAGGTGTAGGTTACTCACATAAACAATAGATGGCTTTGTTGTTCTTGAATTTTAGTCCCCAGTAGGGTCAGTATAAGCTTACTCCACCCTGCTCTCTGTATGTACTGTAGTGGGAGAGGCTCCCAAAGGATCCCAGGTCCACAGCAGAGCATAGACAATAGTCTTTCCAAGTTTCCATTCACTCTGCCTTAACATCAAAAACTCCTAGAATTCTAGAGAAATTCCATTACTGTCACCACCACCAGACTTAAAGGTCATATGAATATCCACTTTTTCCCTCCTTTATTGAGGTATAATTGATAAAACTTTAAGATACTTAAAGAGTATATCATGACGATTTCATATATATATATATATATATACTGTGAAAGGATTACTGAATATCTGCCTTATGCTAAAGCAAATGTAGGGGAAATGCTTTTTCTTAGTACAGTAGACAAAAATATAGTTTTTCAGAACAAATGTTTATTTAAGAATTCAGGGAAAACAAAAACATTAAAGCATAAGAATACACTGACTGCATACAAGTGTCTCATTTGGTCTGAAACCTTGAAAAAGTTACTCTACTTACCTGAGGTAGATTTAGGTCAGCACTGTCTCAAGAGAACCTCCATCCATCCAGAAGTTACCTTCTAGTTTTGGTTACAGGCTCCCAAGTGGTCCTTTCCAACCTCAGGTTATTCTATATGAGTAATACCAATACCTTTTTTCCCCACGGTTAAAAAGCTCTCAGATCTGTTTCATATCCCCAAAGTTCTCTTCAAGGGATGGTCCATTCTCAATTTACTCAAAGACTAGAGATATTACAAATAAGATTAGCCGACAGGGGAAAGTCACTGTACCGCCAATGATACAAACTGTCCCCTTCTCCAAGTTCTAACAAATAGCCATAAGGACTTATTTTCATCAACACCATGCCATATACCCAATACTATCTTAAGTATTAAAACTGTCAAACACATACTAGAGATAGGCATGATTTTCACCAAGGAGAAACAAATACATCTTGTGTATTTTATCACACTGGGCAACTTTTCATTGTGTAAGAGCTATTTATAAAAATTATTAAAATACATCAGATCAAATAAACGTCCAGGATCTGTTTTCTAAAAAAAAGAAAAACACCTTAGCATTAAGCTTCCTTATCATCACAATTAACTATATCCACTGACCCTAAGATTATCAAGATCATCAACCAGTCATTAGGACCCAAATCTCAGAACCACATAAAGCAAGGTAGCAGTTGGCCACCTCCGTGAGTCCAAATGCCAACACTCTCTGGAGTTCAGAGGTTTGCTGAGATAAACCAGAGGACCCAGACAAGCAACAAAATATTTGTTCACCAGTCTACTGCCCCAAATATTGTAGACATTTTAAATATTTACATTAAATGTCCTTAAACCTGAGGAAAGAAGAAAATCCTCAGAAAGGTCTTTTTTAGATCCTTGGATTAAGTACAGTATTTCTAGAGAACATTAAAGATAATCATAATTATGTTGTTAAACTGGAGATAAGTGCTTACCCTTAAGCCTCTGATAAATCTGCCAGCTACTTTCCCTTTTAGCCTTTGAATTCTACATTCCAAGCCAAATTTATACCTTATACTGTGGTGACTGTAATTCTCCCCGAGAATAAAAAATATTCTCTTTTCTTGGCAGAACTGAAATAAATGAAAAGCATATTGTTATGGAGCTAGTTTCGCTATAAAGAGCAGTATAATGGAGTGAAAAGAACACCAACTTTGGAGTCAGAATGATAAAAAAAGTCTAGCTCTTCCATTAATAATGTATCTGTATTTTTTATTGTGCCTACTCAGGCTTAAACCTTTCAGTCTTAATCTTTCTGCAAGAAGCTGATGAGGATATCTTATCATTGAAAAGAGACAAATGAAGTCACAAAAACATGGATACAAGCAACATTGTTAAATTATTATCCTGAAATTTTCATTTTGAGTTGAAATGAATCTCTAAAGCTGAAATTTCAAATACTAGTAATAATCTGAAAGCTATATGGATAGGAAACTTTTGAGGGTATGCCTCAATCATAATAAGGAAAAGCTGAATATTCTGCCTCTTTAGGAGGTTGGCCCTTCAAAGGAGAACCTTCTGGAGAGAGTTTTGTCTAGGATAACTACTCCCTAGTTGCTAGTTCTTTTCACCACCAGCAAAAGGTTTACTATAGCACACAAAAAAGTCAAGAGGCAAAGTCAATACATTCCTTTCCCCCAACAGTAACACATGCCACACCTGCCATTACAACATTATAGTCCTTTCCTTTATTGGGTTTCCTAATTTCAAAAAGTGAAAGTAAAGCAATCAGTAAGTGGTTCAGATAGAAGAAAAGCATCTTTACCTGAGTTACCCATCAGGCCTACTCTGACCTGCCCTAGCTCCTCCCAGAACAAGCTTCTGGCTATCTAAAAAACTGTTTACATATTGACTCCATTAAAAGTCATCTCTACAATACTGTCATCTATGAGAACAGTTCCTCTCATACCTTATATGCACACAGTCCACAATCAGATCTCACTAGAGCAAATTCTCTGCAGAGTAGGTTCTTTGGGGCCCAATAAGATAGGAGTGACTAGTGAGGCTTTTGTCTGACTCAAGGTATTCATGCAGTTTTTCACTTATGGTGAGTTCCCCGGTGTATGACAGGGGCTCATCACTGACAGCTTTTTTCATTCATACTTCATAAAGTCTTTCCTCTGATTGGCTTTTTTTGGTACAAACCCAAGAAGGCTCTTCAACTAATGCTTTTGCCACATTCATTACAAATATACACATTTTCACCAGTATGACTTTTCTGATGGGTAAGAGTTACAGTTCTGTTAGAAGCTTTTTTCACACTTGCTGGGGTTTCTCCTCATTGTGGGCTTTCTGATATCCAATGAGATGTGCATACTGTCTGAAGCACTGCTGAAACTGAGGGCATTTAAAAAGTTGTCCTCTGATGTGAATTCTCTTTGGAATGAGGGTGCTCACACACAGCATTTCTAAAGTTTTCCATTTCTATGAATCCTCTTGGTGATCAAACATGAGCTTCGTTGGGTTAAAGGTTTTCCAAAACTCAGGGCATTTTTAAGATTTCTTATTGGAGTGACTAATACTGTGTTCTGTTAGGGCAGCTCTCTGGGCAAACCATTTTTCAACTTCCTACAGTGGCAGATTCTTGTCCCCATTGAAGTCTGAACTCTCAGGAAAGTCTGAGAATTACCTGAAGTTCCTCATTTTAGTGAGTTCTCTGACATGTAAATACATTTTTTATGGTATTTTGACTTCCTGTCTGGTCAAGACATCTGTGAGGCCTCTGATGCATGGGGAGGGCTGAGCTCATGACTGTTCTCACCCACATTACAGATATGTTTTTCACTGATGTGGATTGTCTGATGTTGAAGAAAGGCTGAGCTCTGGTGGAAGCTTCTATCACATACACTATATTTATAATGCAGCTCCTCTGTTTGAGTTCTCATTTTCTGTTGGGCAACAAAGTCCATGCCTAGGAGGAAGCCACTCTCACATGAAGACCACTGATGTGGTTTCTCTTCCATGTGAATTCTTTGATGCACAATGAGGTCTGAGCTACAGCTGAAGCTTTTCTCATATTCAAGGCATTTAAATGTGTGAGTGTGAGTTGCCTGGTGCCTGATTAGGTTGGCACTCCGAGTAAAACTTCTCATACATTCCAAGCATTTATAGGGCTTTTCACCTGTGTGGACTCTCTGATGTACAATAAGGTCTGATTTCTGGCCAAAGCATTTCTCACAGGCAACACACTTATAGGGTTTCTCCCCAGTATGAACTCTTTTATGAACAATGAAGGCTGAACGGTGTCGGTAACTTTTCTCACACTTATTACATTTGTAGGGCCTTTCACCAGTATGAGTTCTCTGGTGGCTAATAAGATCTGATTTCCCACTAAAAGCCTTTTCACACTCCAGACACTTAAATGGTTTCTCACCTGTGTGAGTTCTTCGGTGCCTTATGAGGTTTGTACTTCGACTGAAGCATTTATCACACTCACTACAGAGATAAGGTTTCTCGCCTGTATGGCTTCGCTGGTGGACAAGCAGATCAGAGCTCTGACCAAAATTCTTGCCACAAATATCACACGTATAGAATTTTTTACCTGCATGTGTCCTCTGGTGTCCTGAAAGGGCTAAATGGTGCCAAAAGCTCTTCTCACATTTGCTACATTTGTAAGGTTTCTCATAATTGTGTATCCTCTGGTGTGAACTAAGATCTAAGCTTTGGATGGAGGTTTTCTCACACATATCACATCTATAAGGTTTCTCCCCAGTATGGGTTTTCTCACACATAATAAGAGCTAAGTTTTCACAGAAGTTTTGCTTATGTTCAAGACACCGGTATATCTGATCATCTATTAGAGTAATCTCATGCACATTAATAAAAATATTTTTACCCTTCTGAGGGCATACATGATATATTTTCCTTTTCTTAGTTCTCTGATTATATCTTTCTTTTGAAGTGTACATTTTCTACAGCTCTCTCCTAGGGAATTTTCCACTGGTCTTCCTGACCCATCATTTTCTTCATAGTCATTTTCTTGACGAGAACTTGGAAAATACATCTGTTTTAGGCCTTTCATCTCCACAAGTTTTCAACATCATACGCACTAATTCTTCACTTGGTATTTCCAACCCTGTAAGACAAAGGAGAAACATTATTTACATTCCTATAACTAAGACAAGACTGCTCAAAATTCAAACCACTGCAGAAAAGACAGAAATTCTATTATCAGAGTCCTTAAGTACTCTAGGCTTTACAGGGACTGAACTCAGTTTTCCTCTTTGCTAATAAGAAGCCAATCAGAAACATATATGGGGAAAGTCCTAGGAAGAATTCTTTCTTTTATGAAACATGGTTTTTTCTCTTCCTCTTGCATCAACTGAGTAATCAAGATTGGTCTAATAATCAGTATATCTGCTCATGACGGCAACAACCCAAAAGGGACTGTAAATATTTATGCAGTCCTTTCTGTAGAAATGTTTGGAAGCAAATGGTTAACAGTCATTAGAATTCTCTCTGTACAGAGAGAAAAAAGTTCCTATGACTCTATTATCCTAACTGTATGATGCTAGGCAACTTATTCAACCACTCTGTAGCTTTCCACATCTGTAAAATGTACTAATAAAAGAAATTACCTTACATCACTGAGTTGAATAGTAAGCTAATCACAATATAGTTCATTATAAACACTGTTAGCTCTTATAATCACTATTGTTATGATAAAGGAATCTAAAATTCTGCTTTGTATGATTATATGAGCACAAATCTTGCTTAAAAAGAAAATTCCAGGCTGACTACAGATAAAAGCTTGGGATTCTAACCAGCTTTTATGCCTGGCTTTCATTTGTACAGTGACGAGATGTGGAAAAGATTTTCTCCTGTTTAGAGGAATATACATACATTAAAATACTTAGGGACTGAGCATCTTAAAGAAATAAATCCACAGAAAGATCACAATTATATAATTTTCCTTAATAACATTACTGAAACAGGCCCTCTGCTCAGGCTGTCAGAGCATTCCAAATGCTCCCCTCCTTCTGGATGGGATAGTCACTCCCCTTCCTCCTTGGTGGGATATAGTCACATCTTTCAATGCCTAGGAAATTTAAAAGGTGGAAGGGAGGAGACAGACACCAAGGCCTTTCAGTTCAGGACCTATTTTCCCTTGGGCTACACCACTAGAGTTAAAGATGTCACAGCCAACAGGAAATACAGAAAAACAGACTAATGCTAATGAAAAATGATGGGCTGGTTTAAGGGAAAAGTACAGAGCGAGTTAAAAGTTCTTATATTTATCAACTGTCCATCTAAGGACAACGTTTTCATCAGTACTGGAGTCCACCCCTTTTCTCCACAAGGACATCATTCCAGCAATTCTATCCTCTCCCTCCTGCATTATCAATTTGTTCTTTTCTACTGTAGATTAATCAGCAAACTGGCTGTTAGCTCTCTCCTAAAACGAGACATAACAAACAAGAAAACTTCCCTCAACCACCTCACCCGCAAGCTATAGTCTCACTACTTTGTTCCTCTTTGTAGCAAAACTCCTCAAAAGAAATTAATCTGTTAATTGTCTCCAATTCTATTTTTCAAGGTTTCTGGAACATACTCTAATCAAACATTTATCCTTTCCATTCCACTAGAACCACTACTTTAGAAACCCACAAGCCCCTAAGAAATCTGACCCATTTCCCTGCTCTTCTCCTACTTATGGCATGCCAGTCACCTTGGTCTCTGCTGTTATTCAAACAAATCAGGTCCACTCCCCTTTCAGGGTCTTTGTACTTGCTGTCTCACCCTGGCTAAAGTGCTCTTCCTCTACATCTTCAAGGATCCCTCCCTCACCTTATTCAAATCTTTCTAAACTGTCATGTTCTCAATGAGATCATGTCTGATCATCCTGTTTTAAATTATAACACACTTCCATCCCAGCTGACTCACACCCCTTCTCTCCCTTCCTCTTTTTTCTCCACAGAATGTAAACCCCTAAGGGACAGGAACTTTTGTTCATTTCATTTGCTGCTGTTTCCCTAGTACCTAGGACAGTGCCTGGCACATAGTAAGTGCTCAAACCTAAAAGAGAAGTTCTTATTTGACATTTATGGACTCCCAAATAACCTATGAAACCTTTGAAACTGACTGCTAACTGTTATTTAGTATATGTACATGTTTTCAGGGGAAAGAGTCCATAGTTCATCAACTGTGACAGACTGGACCTTCCACCATTCATGGGAAATGAAAACAATATGAGAGCTCACTGAATATAGCATACTAGTAAGTATAATGGACTGGAAGTCAAAACAAAACAGCTATACAAACAGAATAAGCAACAGATACCTAAACTCAGAGACAACATCCAGTCAAAAGTATCTAAAAGACATGGTGTGAAGATGGATGATATCCTATTTCTTAAATTTGTAATTGTTTTTCCAATTTCATTCAACAATTGTATACTTGCCATGTGCAAAACAGAGACAGTTCTCAGAAGAAAACGTTATTTATAAATGTAAAAAGAGATACCAAGGCTTTTGAATGTTAACTCAAAATGTTCTAAAATTTAGTTTAGAGGATAAGAAAAAATTAAATGGGGTGGGAGTAGTACCATCTCTTGAGAGTCAAGATACATACAGCTCTACAAGAAATGTAGCACTGAAACTACACAGGGACAGAATGGGAGAAAAATGTGATACAAGGCTAAAAGTAGTGAAGTCAAACAGGCTTTCAGAACGGAAAAGAGGTAAGCTAAATAAAAGAGACAGCATGCTTATGCTAAATACAGTTAACTATAAAGCCTAGACTTCAAGTAAGCCTTTCATGTTGCCATAATCTACTCAACTATTCTAGAAATTAATTTTTTTGGTCTAAATCATATCTTTCAGGTGACTCATAGTATCATAAAAGAACTCCTTACACTCCATAGTATCATAAAAGAACTCCTTACACTCCTTACACATTTCTCTCTGCTCACTTGATAACAGGTATCTTAAGAAGTATAGGAACCTGACTCATAAAATGAACCCTTGCTACCCAATAAAATATCCTAAAAATCAGCATGCTCTATCCCCATGATATAGAATTGATTTCTATGAATTTAACCAAGATGCTGAGTCAGAGTTTACACCTTGTTGATTCATCCAAGTGGGTCTCAGAGTTCCAAGAGATTACCTGCAATGGCAGGTATCCATAGAAAACATAGCTTTGATTATCCATGAATGATAGGCCTCTCTACAAAGTTACCCAAAAGTACCCAACAACAACATGCAATGTATTAAACACAAGAGTATATATCGTCACTGCCACAATCAACCTTCAAACGCCTGAAGTGTCACAAAGAGTATCACATTGTTTTGCTTTATTAAGTAGAGTTTAGAGCTAACTGCTTAGTATCTGCTCTTGCCTTAGTCACAGGCAGTCAACAAAGAACCTATACTGGAGCTGAACTGCAGATCTACTCCACCTATCATCTGTCTTATCCCATGTTCATGGCAAATCCATCCATTTATTTCTGCAGGCCAAAAACCTGGAGTCACTGTACTCTTTCCTCTCCTGACAAATTTGTTGGCTCTATTCTTAAAACAAGAATCCAACTATTGCTCACTTCTGCTGCTACCACCCTGATCCAAGCCATTCTCATTTCTCACTTGGATTATTGTTAACAACTTCTGAACTGGTTCCAACCCACTGTGGGCTGAACTGGGTGACCCCAAAATTCATACATTGAAGCCCTAGTCCCCATTACCTCAGAATGTGACTGCATTTGGAAATAGGGTCTTTAAAGAGTAAAGTTAAAATGAGGCCATTAGGGTGGGCCCTAATCCAAGATGACTGGTGTCTTTTTAAGAACAGGTGATTAAGACACAGAGAGACCCTAAACTGCACACACAGAGGAAAGACCATGTGGGAACACAGCAAGAAGGTGGCCATCTGCAAGCTAAGGGGAGAGACCTCAGAAGAAACAAAACCTGACACTTTGATCTTGGACTTCTAAACCTCCAGAACTGTGAGAAAATTGTTTAAGCCCCTTGGTCTGTGGTATTTTTCATGGTAGCCCTAGAAAACTAATATACCACCCTTCTCTCCCTAGGCTCTAATTCTCAACCCTGCAGTCAGTGAAATCCTGTTAAAACAACAGCCAGAATATGTTCTTTCTCTGCTTCCTTCAACTGTTTCCTCTCCCACTCAGTACTCACAATAGTCTGAAAGGACCGCATGGGCTGTCCTGCCAACCCCTACCACTGCCTCTCTGACCTCTCATATTTTTCTTCTTTTTGCATGTTCTAATCCAGCCACAATGGCTTCCTAGATATCCTCGTCCAGATATACTCCCCTTGGGGAATTTGCCCTTCCTGTCTTGTGCCTATAGCCTTCTTCCTCCAGGTATCTACATTGCTCTCTCTTAATTCCTCAAACTATTTCAAATGCTCTTCTCAGGAAGGCCTTTTCTGACCATCTTTTTTAGAAATGTGAAGTGGCCCTGTGCTCCAGCATTCCCTACCCATCTTTTCTGCTTCATTTTTCTCCATGGCACTTATCACCCTCTAGTCTACTATGTAATTTACTTATTTATGGTCTATTGCTAAAATATGGCAAGGATGTTTATGTTTTGTTTGTTTCTTTCTTTAATATACAGAGAAGTGCCAAGCCCACAACTGGTACTTAATATTAACATCTGCTGAGGGCATGAATAAATCTTTACTGAAATTCTACTTGTGTCCTTATCTGGTAAAGGAAAAGAACTGAATGCCACAAGGGATGGGAGCTACTCTGATAGGATGCAGTCTAGGAGAGAGAAGGTACATTTAAAAACTGTAGATTACCTAGAAATCTAAATGGAAGAAATGCAGCATTTACTTCCTGGTCCTGAGAATTTGATTTTTCAAGGGAAGATAGCATTCTATAAAACACAAGAATAAGAAAAGGACAGTCACAAATGAAACGATTTAGCACTAGATCATTTCATGTGAAGAACCTGAAAATGGGTAAACTACCGTTTCCCTGAAAAGGGCAGATGGGTTTTCTTAAACAATCCCTTAAGTTCAATTCTGAAGAGAATAATCATAGTCCTAAGTCATCCTATGTATGACTCTGGAAAAAAAGGACAATAAAGAACCTAAAAACCATCTGCATAATCTC